TCACTTTGAATATTTCCTGCCACTCCCTTCTGACCTGCAGAGTTCCTGTAGAAAAGTCAGCTGTTAGTCTTATAGGAGTTCCTTTGTATGTAACTTGCTAACTTTCTCTTGCTGCTTTTAGGATCCTGTCTTTGTCTTTCACCTTTGCCATTTTTACTATGATGTGTCTTGGTGTGGACCTGTTTGGGTTCAGCTTGTTTGGAACTCTCTGCACTTCCTGGGCTTATATGTTGATTTCCTTCACCAGGGTAGGGAAATTTTCAGTCATTATTTCTTCAAATACATTCTTGATCCCTTGCTTCTTCTCTTCTCCTATTCCTATGATACAAATGTGTTGCACTTGATGTTGTCCCACAGGTCTCTTAAACTCATTTCATTGTTTTTTATTCTTTTTTTCTTTTTGTTGTTCCAACTAGGTGCTTTCTGCTATTTTGTCTTCTAAATTGCTGAATCTATCCTCTGCTTCATCTAATCAACTGATGATTCCTTTGAGTGTGTTGTTCATTTCAGTTATTGTATTCTTTTGTTCTAACTGGTTGTTTTTTATGATTTCTCTATCCTTCTTTATGTTCTCCCTAAGATCTTTAAACATTCTTATCATCACTGTTCTAAACTCTGTCTCTGAAAGGTTGGATACCTCTGTTTCATTTAGTTCCATTTCTAGAGGCTTCTTCTGATCTTTTTCTAGGGACATGTTTCTTTGTTTCTTCATTCTGGCTGTCACTCAGTGACTGCTTCTATGTATTACATAGATCACCTATGCCTCTCAGTTGTAGCTGGGTGCTCTTGTAGTATGTGTCCCTTATATTTGGATTGCACTGTCTCTGTATTCTCCTGTCCTGTGTGTTCCAGAGGTATCACTGTTGAAGTTGGTTTTTAATTGCTTTTGGCTTGTCAGAGGGTGGGATTGACCCTCAGACTGATTATCTGGGAGAATTAGCTCTATTCACAGTGTATGAGATGCTGTGTGGAGGTTGACCCCCTCAGAGAAGGCTTGGCCACTCTGGGTTCTTGTGCCTGTGGAAAGTGTCCTTTGAGAGTGTCACTTGTAGTTCAACCAGGTAGAACTCTGGTTTTGTCTAACACTGGCCTCTGGGTATATTGGTTCTGGTGTCTGTTGGGCGGGGCTCCCACTCAGAGCCATTTCAGACCTGCCTGTTCCCGGGCTGTAGCTACCTAGTAGGTGTCTCAAGGCTGTATGCAGTTGGCTGCTGCCTGCGCTGGACCTGGGGTCATATGGGGATGGTCTCTGTGTAAACTGAAGCTGGCTTCCCCCTATATTGGTCATGAGGCAGTTTAGGAAAAGGCCCAGGGCCCCCTAGGTCTGTTGCCACCTATCAGATGCTGGTAAGGTCCACCTATTGAAAGAGGCTTTTTAGGGTCATGTCTGGCTATTTGACCGGGTGTTGAGGGTGCCTCTGTGATGTGGCACTAGCTTGGCAGGCTGGAGTTCAAGTGAGTTATGCAACGTGATTGGTAGTTTTTAAGATGTTAATGCAGATTCAGGTATTACACCAATACCTGGCCTGTGACCCCCTTGTATAGCATTCCAAGGGCACTACAGCCAACCTCCACCTTGTGCTCACAGATTCACAAAAGCTGCTCCCGAGTTGCTGTGGTGCAGGTTTGTGGTCACTGAACACCACAAAGATAACCCCAGGGCTCTGATGACCATCTTCTGCTGTCAAAAACCTTTTCCACAGTTTGTGGGGGTGAGGCTAGTTACCCCGGCACCCCAATTGCCCCTGGAAATGCAGTTGTAGGTGGGTGAGGTGGTGTTACAGGTGCATAAAGGCTGTGGTCAGTAGTTTCTACAAATTCAGTGTAGTCTCAGCTCCTGGACCAGTGCTAGGTCCATATCCACTTCATAAAACAAAAACAAAGCAAGGCAACCCAACAACACCAAAAAAAAAAACCAAATACACACCCACAGAAACTCAATAAGCAATGATCAGACAGAGGAAACAAAAGTATATAAAAGAGACACAAACACAAAAACAGGAGAACAAGACAGAAAAACAGTGACCAAAGCAATATCCAGATAAGTCTGAGAAACAATGACAAAAACAAAACAGATGAAAGAAAAGAAGGAAAAGGAACTTAAAGATGAACGAGAAAGAAAAGAAAAAATAATAATAAAGAAAAAAAGGGGGAAGAAAAAAGAAGGAAAAAAGAAATTAAAAAAAAAAGCTCTCCGCCCACTTTAATCTGCAGACCACTTGCTCAGCAATAGTCTCTGGGCGACTCAGCACCAGCTATGTTGGGGGGAAGGGCTCAACATGTCATGCACTGGCTTCCCTCTCAGGCTTGCAGTGAGCTTCCTGCAATTAGCTGCTATGTGCTCTGGAACAGTGCTCACCACCAAAAATCCTCACAGGTTGTTGCAGGCTGTCCGTTGTGGCAAAAACCCTCTGTGGCTAGCAGAGGTGGGGACCAGGCACCAGAGGCTCAGGGTGCCCCCAGCAACACAGCTCTAGGTGGGCGGGGCAGGCCCCCAAGGCACCACAGGATGTGGTCAGTGGCCCCCACCAAGTCAGAGCAGCATGCTTTCCTGCACCTACAACCAGCCTGCACAAACTCGCCAGGAAAGCCCTGGCTGAATCACGCAGGCACACAGCTGATGGTTCAACACTCCCAGGAAAACTCCCAGTCTCAGCCTGTCCCAATCAGCTGCTTGCAGATCAGGACAAGCAGCCCGAAAGCCAATCACCAACCTGGCAACTCTGAACGTGCAGTGTGGAGAGCAGGGACCCAAGGCAGTTCAGACACTCCTGCGTCTCAATGAACAGACTGTTGGAGCTGGTGTGCACCTGCCAGACATTTCCCTGGCTACACAGCACAAGCAGTGTGGAGAGTGGGGATCCAAGGCTGCATGCTTGTGTGCACACACACGCACTCCTGCGCCAATTTCACCAGACCAATGTGGTCCCGGACCTGATCCTCTGTGGGACGGTCCAACCCTGAAAAAATGGCACCCTCCTGTACACCACTTGTGTGCAAGCTCCACACCAGGGGAACAATGGTCCCAAAACCTCTAGTTCCCATGCCAAAGGTGCTCAGTTCAGTCCTTCTCCACAGGCTCCTGGGCCCCACCCATCCAGCCATGCTGTCCACTAGGGACCCAGCAAGCCCTTACCAGCTAGCAAGTCCATATGCTGGCTCTACTGGTTCTCTAGCCGCCCTCAACCTCACTGAGTTGAGCAAAGAGAATCCTCATTAATTTCTACTGCCAGCTATCGTGGAACTCCTCTTCCCGGCAAAGTAACTCTGGGCTGGTAAGCTCAGTCTGGGGCCAGAGGGTCTGTTCAACAACTGGAGAAGCTCTCCACTGCTGAGATGTCTCTCCCATGGTTCTCCCTCTCTCATCTCCGCTTCTCCTACCAGATTCAATGTGGCCTCCTCTTTAAGTACTTTGTTTAGAGATTCTGTTCATCTAGTGTTCAGGGGACTTCTGAGGTTGAATGTTGTATAAATTATTTGTAATTTTGGTGTAATCCTGGGAGGCAGTTGGCACAGCACCTGTCTATTCTACCATCTTACCAGAAATCCCCTAATCATACTTCAATATTTTGTGTCTTAACCCAAATTTTGAACCTCGTGAATTTATTTGAACAACTTTATACATTTTTTATCTTCTTATGACAAAATTTTATCAATGAAACATGTCACTGGAAACATTTAAAATTATTATAGGCTATAATTGTGAGACACTTTGCATACAGTGTTTTGCAGTGGGCTGTCCTATATTATCCTAGATAACTGAGATTTTGAGAAACCTGATACTGAGAAACTTAATTCCATAAAATGATATTACATTACTAAAAATGAGCCCTTTGTGTTCGCTTCGGCAGCACATATACTAAAAATGAGCCCTTTGAATAAATAGTTCTTAAAGAAAGTTTTTGGCACCCAATAGATGCAGACTGTATCAAATAATAAACTATCTTACAAAGCCAGATTAATAATATACTGGACACCTACTGGCCTGAATTCTTCAACATTTCTTAATATTCCCCAGAGGAAAAGTTCTCTGACTTTATTTGATAGGAAGATTGCTGAATGGGGAAAATACCGGGATGCCAAAAAAATGTATACAAGTAGACACTTTGGTCAGCATTGCCCAAGCAGTAGTTCGCCGTAATCAGAAGTGTCTGGATGCTCGCTGATGGTAACCACTTTGAGCACCTCTTGTAATTGCAGAAGTCAAACGTGACTTGTATTCATCTTTTGTTATTGGTATATATTGAGGATTACAATTTTAATACAGTTTTCCTTTCTTAAAATGTGTATACATTTTTTTGGCACCCTCTGTATGTTCTGTCAATTCTGAGTAAGAACAGACAGAAGTCTTTGGAAGGCTTTATGCTGTACCACAGGCAGAGAGGTTGAATTAAACGATCCATAAATACTAATGAAGTTGCATTAAAAAAATTCATTTGCTAAAAGCAGAAGAAAAACTCTTCCGGGGAAGACATTTTAGAAATGGCCTTTATTCTGAAAATGAATTTGTTTTATTTACTTGACCTCTAAAATGTCATAAACATGGTCCTTATGTGCCTGCAATTCCTGAGTCTTCCTTCCTATTTTCCTCCCTTGGCTGTGTTAAATCTCACCACTGACTTCACCTGGAGCTCTGGGGGTTTCTATCATATAACATATTCCTAATTCCTGTATGAACGCTTCTGTGTTTTGATACATACTAGTAATCACTTTACGACCTTCACTTTAAAAACACATTTTTGGATAGCCTTTCCATTTAGGGTCCAGAAATTTGCATAAAAGCACAAAAGTTAATTTGCTTTTGAACTAACGGCTGTTGATTTGTGGGATTTCCTTCAACTAGAAACATGTATGAGTGAGTCTGTGGGTTTAGTGTTTTCCCAGTTTTATAATATTCTGCTTGTTTGTTTTAATCTTCAAAGTTGGAAAATTTATCATTAATTTTCATATTTTGTGAAGGACTAACATTTTTCTCTTCTTCTTTTTTTTTTTTTTCCCAGTTGAAAGAGACAAGGATTTTTCTCACCAGCGAAGGCATTACAAAGAATTCCGGTTTGATCTTACTCAAATTCCTCATGGAGAAGCAGTGACAGCAGCTGAATTCCGGATATACAAGGACCGGAGCAGCAATCGATTTGAAAATGAAACAATTAAGATAAGCATATATCAGATCATCAAGGAATACACAAATAGGTATGGACTTTATATCTAACTTATCCTAGCAAATAAATGATAATTGTAGTAAAATCCATTGACAACCCATGTGATCTGTCCAATCATGTTTTCTTTGGGTACAATGACAGTCAAGGCCAGGTACAGACACATTAAGAGTCACTGATCTGAAAGGTGCCGTCTACATTCCACAGCTTTCCCCTTCTCCTGACACCAATCTGTGGGCTACATGAATTCATGCTTCCCCATATATGTTTTCCAGTCCTCTTGTCTCATTTTGTAAGTGAGAAAACTTCCATTTTATTCTGCACACACGAAATTTGTAATTAAGATGATTTAAATCATTGGTGTTTTGTTAACGGCTTTGCTTTTCACTGGTATAAGTGTACATTGTATGTGTTGTTATGTTTATTTTGATGTAAGACATATTCGCAACAGGTCCTACAGTTATCTGTTCATCTTCTGCTTCTAAAATACTTAATTCAAAATGGTACAAAAATGGACAGAGAATCTGAAATACTAAATGTATGAAAACCTCACTTGACAATTACTGCAAATGAACAATCAAATACAAGAGTAAAAAAGGGAGCTTAGTACTGTTTTCTGATCTTTCACTCAATGAAGAAATCACTTGTGTAGCACCTTTTACAGGTGATTTTGACTTGTGTTGGAGAGCTCTTACATTTTTTTTTAACGCTTATTGAAATGTTATATTGAGATGAATCTCATTTCTGGTAGCTTCCATTCATTAGATCAAGAGCTTCCCTTTGGTGAAATACTATGTGTTTTTTTGATGAGACAAATATTTAAAGACAGCTATCAGGTCCCCTCTAAGGCCCCTCCCTTTCTCTTCTTGTTGAATATTTCTAGTTCCTGATGTTTAGATTTTTCTTGGTGATAAAGTGCCAGAGATTCCCAGTGAGTGTTCCATGTGAGGAATACTAGCTCCTCACAACATTCAGTGAAGCAAAAAATAAATAAATAAAATGTCTGAGATCAAACGCATTTGAAAAGTCTACCTGTTGGACCATCCTCTAGGACAGGGGTTGGCAAACTTTTGAGACGGAAGAGCCGCCAGGGGTCAACAAACTGTGGCTCACAAGCCACATGCGGCTCTTTGGATACGTACACGTGGCTCTGAAGTGAAATTGAAAATGAAAATAAAATTATCATAGTTTCATTTATAAAATTTTTAAAGGATATTATTCACCTAATGGTGATTATGTAAAAATATATTTATGGCTCTCGAATAATTTTTAAATTGTTATGTGGGCAGGATTGGCTCTTCTAAGAGATTCCTAAGGCATATCAGAATATTAAAGACTTGGAAAGGCTTTATAATAAAGAAACCTAGTCTTTCTCAAAATTATTTGACTATGCAATCTTTTCTTTGGGTGTGCAATACTTAATATCCTATGAAACACTGGTTGCACGGGACATAATTTCATAAATAGTGGTCTATATACACTTATTTTAAGAACAGTAATCCCAAGGCACTTGCTAGCTATTTGTCTGTGGGTGAGTTTTTTTTAAAATCTAAATTCAGTGTTTCCATTTATAAAATGAGGATACTATTTTATTTTTCTCAGAGACAGGGGCTGGCATATTACAGTACATTGCTTTTAATACTAAATAATGATATCTTTCAAAATTAAATGACTATAATTGAAATTAATACTTTTAAATATTTTTCTATGTCTGTTTTCACACTTGGACTGTGAGATCCTTAAAAAAGGGATAATGTCTTAAGTAATTTTATTTACTTATTTTTTTATCCCCGGCACTATGAATTTGTTTGGTATGATTTAAAGTTTTTAAACCATCGTTACCCATGACTAGGGTACTACTTCCATTAATATATTCTAAAATGTTTGAATTATCTTTGGTTTTGGTCGGTTACATTACATTTTTACGCATGTTGAATTTGTACATGGTTATATAATATCACAAGTACTCTTTTTTACAAAAACTGTTGATATTCCAGGTCTCTATCCTCTGCAATATATTTCTTGATTTTTTGAATGCAAAGACTTTTATGTTGATCACAATTAAAGATCCTAACCTTATTTAGGTCCATTGTTCTGTCTTCTCAGGATACTTTTGAATATATGTTGAAGTGAATATAAAGTGAAGTAGCTACACTTTTAGGTTTTTTTCACCTCTATTTTCTAAGTATGTGAATTGTATAATTTAAGACATGATAACAATGATGAAAATAAAGAACTAATAGAAGAGTCTATACATGACAATTTATAGTTATTTCTGAATGAATCCGTGCTGATTTTTATTAATAATACATTATGGAATATTTATGGGTATTGATGTTAGCTTATCAGATTTCATAGTTTTGGAAAATTTCACGTCTCTTAAAAAATGGGACATGTACCTATCTTGAAAATTTGGTATTTCTCTAAATATACCGATTTAAAAAAAAATTATTTTCAGTATTCCTACAACTACATCAACATGCTTCTTTTGGTATACTTGTGTATAATCTGGCTAAGCCTTTACTTATTTAGCACAATTTAAGTTTACTCTAAGATCTAGGATTTCACCGATATTTTTTCTAAATCTTTGAAAAATGATTTGTAAAACCTAAAGTACACATATATCTTTGATTAATATTCTCTTGCTTTGCCATTCCAAACTCTAGGATGGCATAGATTAAATATGTTCCTATCCAATTTACTGAATATTATTTTGAAAAATTCAATTCAGTAAATTCAATACAGTATTAATTCAAGTCTACCAAGTTCACATTTTTGAACATTTGCTATTAACTACTGTGACTAAATTATTATTTTCATCCTGTAGGGTTTTGATATACCTGTTGTCTTCTGTGATATTTGTTTTTGCTAATGTGTATGGGCTTTTTCCTTCAATCATCTTTTTCAGTCTCTGAAACATACAAACTCATATATGCAAACGGTATATTTGAATTTTACAAATCATTGATCTGGTGAGAGATCTCTGGCAAAATGCCTTTCTTGTCTTTGAAATAGGCATTAATTCATTGCCAGGCATTTACAAATCTTAAGTGTGAGAAAATGCAATCCTGTGCCCTATCATTGTCTGTAGACCTATGATTCACTTTTTGGACTCCACATTCTTTTTCAAAGACAGGTATTGAAGGTACAGAAAATATAGACACAGCACATATGCCTCAGGATATTTCAAGTTTCTACCTAGGATTCAAATGTCACCATAGAATATAGTATTGTATAACTATAAAAGCATGGACTTTGGAACTCCTACATGGGGAAATTTCGGTACATCTTATGTCTCAGCTTATAATTCTGAAAAGAATAAAAGCAAAAATAAGCATTTCAGAACAAGAAACAATATTTTGGATCATTTGGGTAGCAATAGTGCTTATCACAGTGCAAAGACCACAGTTGACACTTAAACACATCGGTCAACGTATATTCATATAGCTTAATAGCAGCATCTATTTCATTAGGGTTTAGAGGATTGTATACTTAGGGTAACCATAAGTAGGTGGTTATGAAAATAACAGTAGCTACCCTTTGATGACATCTACTTTTATGTCAATACGAAGTAAGCAAAATGATGCTAGTTGCTTTTACTTAATAAAAAATTACCCGGTCCTTGATTCATACCAAAGGAATTGGTATGCTTTTAAGGCTAATAATGAGATGAACACCACCCAACTTAACAGCAAAACCATTGGAGCTATCTGTGAACTTGTTCTTGAAAACACAGGTTTTAGATAAATAGTCAAACCCTTCTTTAAAATAGTTGAAGAGGTGTGGGATTGGAGACTGCTTATTATTTATTTTACAGAAATACCAGAGATGTAGAAATATTAAGTAAAATTTCATGTATAAATATTTATCATAATATTTCTGTTTATAATTGCATAAATGAGAACATTTGAATTTCAAATAGAAAAGTTACACCCCGTTTCTTGGAAAATGGAAATGCTATACTTCATATAGCAAGTAGAAATTATGTTTTAAAAATATTTAGTAACCTTGGAAAGTACAAAGACTATAGTGTTAATTGACCAAAAGCAGGAAACCTAATTATATACATTATTATATTAAGTTAAATAATTTCATGTGGAAAATAGATTGGAAGGAAACATCAAGTGCTTATTGTAGGCTTGTGGGTAGTTTTAAATTTTAGTTCTTCCCCCTTTCTGTACTTTCTAAATTTTTATAATGAATATTATTTTTATAATCAGAAACAAGCATAATTATAATTGAAAAAGAGCAAAGATAATGAAACAACTTTATGTTACACATTTTTTTACAAAATGACATTTTCACTTCTGCAGGTAGAAAGGAACAAAATCAAATCAAAAGAAAACAAAACAAACCCCAGGATTTAAAAATAAATTGTTCTTGTTTTTTCTTAAGCTATGGAAAGCATCTTTTCCTCACAGAAAATGAAGATAAAAAATATTTTTTTCTTTTCTCTATTCTATGGAAACATTTCCTGCCAGTTGGAAATCTTGACTTTAATTCTTGTTTTTTGTTTTTTTTTAAAGTGGTGAAAAAGTTTATTAGAAGAGGTCGTGCACTCTAAAGAATTAGGGGCGGGCCGAGCACAAAGCAAAAGCGGCTGAAGGCCCGTTGACTTTTATTCTTGACAGTGAGGAGAAATAGATAAAAAATTCTTCAGCTCTATATCGTGTGATCACAGTTAAAACTAAAAGAATTTTCATTTGAAAAAGTAATTTAAAAATCCAATTATTATTATTTGTTTAATGTTGATTATCTGTGGTTTCATATATTTCTTAAATCAAGAACTAAAATGGAAGAAGAAGAAATTAGTACCTCTGGCCATTTTGAAAGCTTTTAAAATGTCTATTTTTAAGCTTGTGGATTTTACCTATTTAGTGTTTTGAAATGTCAGTGCAGACTGTACTCTTTAATGCAGTGCATTTCACAATGCATACGTATCTGTGTATTTTTTCCTTGCAGTCATTTAGACTGATGTTTTTAGATATGTTTTATATTCGAGACCATGTCTGATCTATTAACCATCTAGTCTAT